CAACTCTCCAAGAGCACTTTGCGCCCACACCTGGGATCCCTATTTTCAACTCCCCAAAGTTCAGAGAAGCCTGTTGGAAACTTGCTGCTGCCAAACCTGGGGGGCCGAGCTGCCCAGGCTGGCACAGAAGGAACACACCCCTTCCGTGGTCTGACTGCCCTCCCCGGGGAACCCTGTGGCCCCTGCAGCCTCCAGCTGAGTGCCTGTATGCCTGCCTGCCTCCCCCCCCCGTTTCCCAGGATGAGGGGCTCTCCAGTCCAGATACAGGGCACCATGTAGGACGCACAGGGTGGCCCACCGGCAGGGACCGCCCCTGAATCACTTATTACTCTATTAACTGCCTGTAGCAACCGAGCTACAAAATCTTGATATGGCTCTTCAGGTCCTTGTCTGATGGATGTAAGATCTAGCGAATTTTCCCCTTTTGTTGGGAGCTCTTTCCAGGCCTTCAAAGCACAAATATTAATTACAACTGTAGCGGAAGATGGTGGGGGAGTCTTTAAGGACTCATAGCCTTTCTTGGCTTTCCTCGAGTCTTTCACTACACCTTGCTTCCCCACCTTATTAGCCCTCTGCATGCCCCCCACTGGGGATTTGGCCCACAACGTGGGCGTGTGCCCTGAGCAGGAATCGAACCAGCAACCTCTTGGTGCATGGGCTGATGCTCAACCACTGAGCCACACCAGCCGGGCCTTTTGCTGTATCTCTGCCTCGCAGGCACTTTCCTACCTTTGCCCAAGTTTTTCTTGGGGCCCAGTTTGGGGCCCACTACCAGTATTTGTGCCCTAATCAGAACCTTCCTCAAATCCTTCTCTAAGAATGTTTACTATGCAACCCAATGAGGTCTTCTGGGCAGTAGGGCTGATATCCATGATTAGACTAACCATAACAAAGTTGCGGGAGACACAGTAGGGAGGACAAAAACAAGGGAAGACACACAAGACAGAAACTTTGGCTTCGTCTGCCTGGCCACTCCCCTCGTGGAGATTTCAGACACCTCTTGGCATGTGGCAGGTTGGAATAAGCCCCCAACTCGGATCAGGTTCACTGGTGGAACACCAGAGTGCTCCAAGAGCCTGATACAGCCTTTTAGACTATGAGGCCGTCACGGAACCACAGAGTAGGACTCACACAGGCTCCGTAACAAATGTGGAGCACGGTCACTCACACACAGTTACATTCACACAGTCACACTCACACACCATTTGAATTTCCTTCCAGAAATTCCCTATCCTGAGCGGCGCCTATGCCGCTTGGGAGGTAATTAGTCTTCCTTTCCACCCCAGTGGCGGGTCTGAATGAACAGAATTTGCCAGATTTGAACCCCACCTAATGCCTTAGGGAGATTCCTGGAAGAGGAGAGGCTGTGCAGTGTCCGGCCCTCTCACTCTCATCCAGATAGATTGGTCACCGAGAACTCACCTCTGGAGGCTTTTACCAGGTCTCCTTCAATCTTTTTGGGGACGGCTTGGTGTCTTCCGGCCACTTGTCGGAAACCCAAGTAGGATCTTTGGGGCCCAGGAACTCAAGGGGCGCCTCCCCTCAGATCTATAGGGGTTCGGTGGCCAGATCAGGAGAGGCTGCCCATCCTAGGTGTCTAGCCCTTGGTATAGCAACACACCAGGGAATCTCGCTGGGGCCTCCAAATGTTATAATGTGTCAGAGAGATAACCAGAGACACACAGCCAAATTATAAAGGAGCACTTTATTCTCGCCAATGGGCTGCAGGGGGCATAGTCTCCCATCAGATCAGCAGCCATGATTCTTCTTGCTCTTCTGAGGGGGGCAGAAGCTACATCCCCTTCTAGCCCCCCCCCCCCCAAAGGACTGGTAAAATAGTGGGTGTGACAGCAATTACAGAAGTCAAAATTTAAAAAAAAAAAGAAAAATCAAAATTAGCACTATTCACTGGGTTCACAAGTACCTGCAAAGGCCTACAATTACCCATACTAAGAAACTGCAAATGCCTCCCAACACATGGGGCACCTATAATCTTAGGCAAAATTCCTTTACTTATAGGGGTAATTAACCTATTATTGGAAAAATATCGAGGAAGGTCCATTGATGATAAAAATGGAAGTTAGCCTCGGGGCCCAGGTCAGTCCCAAGTACTGAAAGGCTGCCAGTTTGATTCCCAGTCAGGGCATATACCCAGGTTGCTGGCTCGGTCCCCAGTAGGGGGTATGCAGGAGGCAGCCAATTGATGACTTGCTCTCACATCAGTGTTTCTCCCTATCCCTAAAAATCAATTTTTTTAAATCTTTAAAAATAAATGAGTAAAATAAAAGAGCAAATGTACAAAAGCATACACAATAAAAAGTCTATCCTCCTTACCCAGTGGTCTCTTCCAGTTCTCCCTGAGGACAATTGTCAATTTCCTGTATATCCTTCTGGAAGTAGTCTACAGATATTATATATATCTAATTTTAAAAATACTGTTATACTCTGTTCAGCATCTTGCTTTCAATTTTTTTTTAAATTTAGGATTATGAAGTATACCAAAGAAGCATAGAAAATGACACCACCTCCAACCTCCACCCCCACAGTAGCCCACCTCACATGTTAACATTTTGCTCTGGCATCTCTTAGGGCTGTCTTGGAGGTAGCCCTCTGTCAGTGTAGCTCCATACAGAGGAGTCAGTTATTGCTTTTTTTTTATTATTATTCATACACTACTTTCTTTCTTTCTTTCTTTCTTTCTTTCTTTCTTTCTTTATTTATTTATTTATTTTTGGTTAATCCTTACCTGAGGATATTTTTCCATTGGAAGGGAGGGAGGTGGGGGGGGGGGGTCAAGAAACATCTGATGTGGAGAAACATATCAATTGGTTGCTTCCCACACGACCCCTACCAGGGCTGGGGATCGAACCTGCAACCCAGGTATGTGCCCTTGACCAGGAATCAAACCTACAACCCTTTGATCCTCCTAGAGGCTCTAACCACTGAGCAAAACCAGCCAGGACTCATACACCATTCTTTTTTTTTTTTTAATCCTCACCCAAGGACATTTTTCCGTTTTTTTGTTCAGATAGAGCGGGAGGGAGACAAAAGAGAGAGAGAGAAAAACATGGACATGAAAGGGACACATCGAGTGGTTGCCACCTGCACTACCCAACCAGGGCCGGGACAAACTGCAACCGAGGTATATGCCCTTAGTGGGGACTGAACCTGGGTCTCTCTAGACCACAGAGAGACTTTTTTTTTTTTTGCTTACTTTTTTTTTTGCTTAAGTAATCAATATGGAGGTAATGTCCCATTCTTTGTCTGCCTGAAGGCATCCAGACAAAGGGGAAAGCTCAACTTTGGCTTAGGTTCAAATACCTGCTCTGCCACACCCCTGGCTGTATGACCTGGGGGTCAGTGACACCCCTTTTGATCCTCTTTACCCATCTATAAAATGGGCAGGTTGTGGGAATCCCTCTGTCTCATAACTGGCTGCTGGGAGTATAGTAGAAAACTAAAGACTTCCCTGGGCTTAGTTTCCCAATCCCCCTAGGCAAGAGGCAACTGGAGCCCCAGACTACCACAGCTGCTCCAGCATCAAATTGTTACCTGCCCCTTTCCTGACTGTGCTGGTGGCCAGGGGCTAAAAATGTCTCTGATGTCAGCCTGTGCAGGACCAATCCCCTTGCAGGTCAGGCTTTAACTTATTTACACGGGTTGCCCGCTATTGGTCTGTTAGGCAAATCCAGGCCATCCCAGTTTTTTAAAGCTGCCGCGCAAGGAGATGCCAGGAAGCAAGACCATGACGTCATCGCAGCGCAGTAGCTCTTGGGACTGACGTCATATCTGGGGAGGTTGCTGGCCTAGTGCTGTCAGAGCTTACCTAACCACTCGGACTGACCTAAGAGGATGCTCCAACCTGGTGGAAGATTGGCCCCATTGTAATTCAGTGTCCCAGGTAGCACCTTGTCTCCGAGGAGGATACCACAGTAAGACCCGGCTGCGGTTCTGTTGGTGGGACCCATTTCTCCGACAGGGAAACTGAGCCTCAGAGGCGCGAGTTTGCATAGCAAACTTGAATTACAAATGATTGGTCTTGCCTATATCGGAGTCTCCCATCTTTAGGTCAGGCCATCTGGCCCGCCCCTTGCCTATAATAGCTGTGGTCACTTTAAGTGCGAAGGTGGATGCGAGAAGGGGTTTGTTTTTTTGTTTGTTTTTTAAGCTACCAAGATGGCGGCCCATTAGTCACGTGCCTAGCCGCAGCGAGTGACTGACTCTCCGAGCCCTAGCTGGGCGGGGCTGCCTCGGGCAGCTGCCTGCTACTGTTTGCCCGAACCTCCCGGCGCGCCCCCGCGAAGCCCCCTCCCGCCCAGCGCGCGACCCCGCCGCTTCGAATGTTGTGAATCAAATGTTGGGTTTGTTACATTCCGCTGGCGCCGCGGACAGTTCTTAAAGGGCCAGCCACGGGCAGCTGCGCAAACCTGTCGGTGTCCTGCGCCGCCTCCAGCTGCCAGAGGGCCTGGGCCAAGAGAGGCTGAACGCGCGTGGGCCTCGCGAGGCAGACGCCAGCGACGGACAACAGAGAGGGCCCCGGAAGGAGCCAGACTGCCCCCGGACCGGGGGGTGGGGAGGGGAGCACATTGTTCCGCAGGGCGGGGGCTCTTAAAGGGTCCGGGCAGCCCCCCCCCATCACCACCCCCTTGCCCAGATTGGCCGCCTTAGATCGGGAACAAAGGAATCAACGTGTGTCCAGGCGACTGAAGGTGAGTCGAGGCCAGAGCCCCCAACTCCCGATTTCCACATTTCTGGAAACTACTGCCCCCTCCCCTGGGACAGGGGATTGTGATATAGCTGGCTCCGCAGGGGTTAATCCCGGGCGGTCCGGAGTGGGGTGGCGAGACCTCTAGGATCAGACCCCCCCCTCCCAGAGACCCCCAATGCCTGGACAAGCCTTCCTTCGCCGGAGTCTGAGCGCTGCGGTTGGAGAGGAAGGAACCCCCCCCCTCCAACCCCCGCCGCCGCCTCCACTTCCTTTGTTGTTGCTTTTGTCTCACGCGGAGCACATGGTCCGGGATCCTCGACTCTTAAAGTCACAGAGCTCTTGCTCAGACGCCCCGGTTTGGCCTCCCAACCCCCTGTCCCTCTGAGCGCGGCACAAAGGAGTGAAATGGGGACCAGGGAGGCCCCTCTCGGGGTGGGTGTCCACACCTTGGCATCCCATCCTCTGGGAGGGGTAGCTGAAGAAGCTTCTCAGAGCCCCGCAGCCTGTACCTGGCCTTCGTAGAGGAGGGACTGCTACTGGTTTCCTACCCCGCTAATGTGAGCACCTGGATTCTTGCATCTGTGTCCCCTGGTTTCATTTGGGCTCTCTGGGAAGGAGAGATTTCCATCGCCGTTTTACAGTTGTGGCAACTGAGGTTTAAAGAAGCGATTTCCTTGAGCAAGGTCACCCAGGGAGTCCTGGCTGGGCAAGCAAGGATTCCTGGTTCCAAGGCTGGCGGCCCTGGCCTGCCTGTTTTGGGGGGCGTGTGGGGGAGAAGGAAAGGGACTTCTTATCCTGCTTATTTAACTCATGCTTTCAAGCTGACTTGCTTATCTGCAAAACAGTACCTGTGCCCAAGTGACATGAAATGGAAGGAACTTCCTAGATCTAGGTGGAGGTAGCTGCTGGGCCTTGAGAAGTCCCGGGAGGGCATGGATGCAAGGTGCAGTACCTGCTTCCAGGCAAGATTGGATTTAGGGATGGGACCCTTAAGATCCATTTACACAGACCTCATTGAGGAGACAGACAGAAGAGTGGGAAAAGGCCGAGCAGTTAGGGGGTGGCCACCCTTGCTGTTTGACCTTGAGCAAGTTGCTCTCTAACTCTGAGCCTCCCTTGCTTCTCTTTCTCTCCACAATAGGGCAAGTCATGGTGCCTTCAAGAAAGCTCTCCTGATCTCCTTTAGAGCCTGGAATTTAGAGTTGGAATGAGGCAGTTCTTGGGGATACTGATGCTAGTGAGAGAGTTGGGTTGGAGGAATCTGGGGGCCCGGGGGCCCAGCCATGACCAATTTTGTTCTCTCTGGCTTTGTAGCCTAGAGCAAGTTACTTCCTTTCTTTGGGTCCTCAACTGTGAAGTGAATGTGTCCCCTCTTTGCCACCTCTGTTCCTAGTAAGACTTTGGGAATCAGAGGCCTCTCCCTTGCCAGCTGGGGTATTCCCTAGGGAGGCATATTTCCCAGCTACCTCCTGTAGAGCTTGAAGTGGCTCCTGATTTCTGCTTGTAGTGCGGTGTTGGAGGTCAGCCTCTCTTATTTTCTAACAGTGATTGATCACACCTAAGCTTTAGAGACCACTCTTACCAGGGTCTGTGAGTCACTCTTGGCAGTCCACTGGAAGGTGGTCATTGGGTTGTTCCCACCTCAGAGATAAGCTGAGGCTCACAGAGGGGAAGTGATGTGTCCAGGACTCTAGCCAGAAGTCAGGGTGTCATGTGTGAGAATGCGAGGGTCAACCCTGTCATCTTTGGCACCATTGTCCACAGCTGGAGCCCCTTCTGTCTGCTGTTTTGGGTTCTCAGTTCCTTACTACTTCCCTTTCCTGAGGAATGAGTATCTTTGAGGGGCTGGCCACAGAACAGATTCCCATTGGCCTGGGCCTCTGTGGGGTCCACACCCCTGAGCCTTGATGTTGCCCAGACTTTAGCAAGACATCCTCACACAAGAGAGCAGTTGAGACCACTACCTGGGTTATGTCCCAGTGCATTTACAATTCCAGCTGACTGGCCTTGGACATCACCTCTGAGCCTCACTGTCTCTACTTCCGAGGGTTGCTATAAGGACTCATCGAGATAGCATGTGGGAAGTATTGTAGTTATTGTTAATATTCTTCATCATTAGGACTGTAGGTTCCCAGTATCTCTGAGGTCAGTTAGAGCAGAAGTTCTCAAACCTAACTATGCTGTAGAAACTCCTGGAGAATTTGGTAAAAAAAAAATCTAGGTGCCCTTGTTCCCCAACCCTGTAAAGATTCTGATCCAGGAAGTCTGGGCTTGGCCAGGGGTCTGTTGTTTCAGTTATTTGTGGAGGTTTCCTCTGGTCTCTCTTGGCCTTTGTTTGCTAGGCTGGATTGTCAGCAGGAATCGGGGAGACTGTATTTTCACACATGTATATGGATGTGCACTTGGCCCATACCAGGGATCACAAACCCAGTTACCTATAGTGGGCAGGTGGAGAGTGGTGCTCGGGTGGCTCATGCTCCAAGGGGGCCAAGCAGAAATGAGGGCCCAGTGGAGCCAGGTTTGTATATAGTTATCCAATTTTGAATCATTGGCACTAACTTCACTACTTAAAGCTGCATATCAAGGGTGTGTAGGAATTTTGTCAGATGGAGAAGGTGCAGTGGGGGCCTCCCTATGGTAGAAACAGCAGAGACCTTCAGCTTTGGGGGCATGACAGGTTTTAGAGCTTTCCTTGCTGGGACCTCATCCCAACCTCTGAACTTAATGAATGATCCCCACAACTTGCCCCACCTGGACCCCCAGCTCTCAGGGAGGGAGGAGACCTACCACGCCCTATTCCTGCTCAACTTCCTCCCTTAGGTTCTGGCTTCCCCTTTTTTCTCAGTAAGCCCCACCTTTCACATGGGGCCCCCACAGCAAAGTCCTGGCTTTATTCCAGACAGACCTACCTGACCAAGGTAGGTGGCTTCCTTCAACACCTCCTGGGAAGCCCCTGGGCTGGACCTCTCCCACCGGCCACAGGGTAGAGTGAGACTTATAGTCAGCCCACCTCTAAGCTTTGACACTTGGGCAAGTGCCTTCCCCTCTCTCTGAACTTCAGTTTTCTCTTCTGTAAAATGGAGCCAACAATACCTTCTTTGAAGAATAGATGAGTCACACATGGGTAGGCACTGTGGGAATGGGTTATGGGAGAAAAAAAAAACAAAGGTGCAGCGAGGTCTGTAGCTAGGTAGGCCCCAGCTAGAGAAGGAAAGGAGGTGGGGCCCGGTAGGACTTACTCACATGGAGAAAGCCTTGCCTTGAACTGGGAGCCCCCAAGAGCAGGAAGTGGATCAGAACCTCTTACCTGGCAATAGTGGAAGGAAAACTGGGCCCCTAGCCTGATTGGAATAACCCCTGAGCCAACCAGATGGAAGGGAGGAAGCTGGAGTCCCCCCAGGAACCCTACCTGCCTGGAGACCAGAGCTGTAGACCCCCACACCCGAGTGTACCCTGAAGTCCCTACACTAAGGGAGCCTTATTGGAGCCACTGGCCTGGAGCCTTGTTGGCCAGCCCTCTGCAGCTCCTGTAACTCAGGAGCCCAGTCCCATTTTGCAGAGCAGAAGACTGAGGCTTGGGCTCCCTGCAGGCCAAGCCTGTCCCTGGTCTCTCAGCCCTGAGCCCCAGTGCCAAGAAGAGGGCCAGACTTAAAGTGCATGTGCATGGGGAGCATAGCAGTGGAGGTGGACATCAGTGGCCCCAAAATCAGACAGCAGAGGTTTGATTCTGTCTCCCAGATTCCTAATGGGACAAGTGACTGGACTTCTCTGTGCTTTAGTTTCTTTGTCTTTTTGACTCCTAGGGTTGTGAGCCCTGGCCCAGCCCCTCCACCCCTCTGCCACCCCTGATGCGACCATGGGCTCTGGCAGTGACTAGGTGGCCACCTTCCACCCCTGTGGGTCAGCGGCAATTGTCTGCAGGACCCAGCAGCACCCCGACCCAGCTCTGGGGAAGGTAGGAAGGAACCTCCCAGTCCTGCTGGCTTCTGGATCTCCTGGTGCTGGGGCTGTCAGCTTGGGCTGGGGCGCTGGGGCAAGGGGTGGTAGGGCACGGGCCCTGAGCTTTCTTCCTTTCCCAGTGGGTAGTGACCTTGGCTTCTCTGTGACCATGCTCTGTGAATGAGTGTCCCCCCTCAGTCCTCCTCGGGCCTCCTCTCTGTGGTGCAGCCCTGGCCGTGAGGGCCGCCTGCCTGCCCAGGATGAGCGCTTACCCTCCCAGCAGCCTCTGCCCCGACCACCATACCTCCTTGTAGAGGAGCGCCGAGCCTCGGCTCCTGCCGGCGGGAGCCCCCGAATGCTGCACCCAGCCTCCCAACAGAGCCCGTTCATGGTTGATCTCCACGAGCAGGTAGGCAGAACACTCCTATCCAAACCCCCAGCCTCGGGCAAACCTGTCTGTGAAAGTTGACAGAGCCCTGATTTCACCTTGTTTAATTTATTGTATGTTTAGGGAGCCATTGTTAGCCTTGCTTTACAGGTTGGTAAATTGAGGCCCAGAGAAGGGAAGGGCCTGCCTGGGGCCACACTGTGGATGAGTAGTAGAGCTGAAAGCCCCTCCCAGGCTCCCAGAGGGTCCTCTCTGCCCTTTGGGACTTGGCAGGGGGGCAGCCAGGTTTGTACCTAGCTAGGCCCCAGCTAGAGAAGAGGGGAGGGAGGTGATCCAGCAGGACTTTCTCACCTGGAGGCAGCATCCCTTGGTCAGACTTCCCCCTATAATTCCTTTGTCTCTCTCTACCTACAGGTACACCAGGGACCTGTCCCTCTGCCCTACACAGTCACTACAGTGACGACCCAAGGCTTCCCCTTGCCTTCAGGCCAGCACATCCCTGGCTGCAGTGCCCAACAGCTCCCAGCATGCTCCGTGATGTTCAGTGGGCAGCACTACCCGCTGTGCTGCCTTCCGCCCCCGGTGAGTGAGGGACTCCACTTCCCACCCACCCCCACACCTCCCATCCCTGCCAAGAGGCCCAGGATAGGCCACAGGCAGAACCACCAAGCCTGACACCCATCGCGGCTGTCAGAGCGCCTCACCCGCTCCAGGCCACAGCCCTGCACCCCAGTGCCTACCAGTGGGAGCCCCCAGATGCTACACCTAGCCTCCCAACAGAGCCCATTTGGGGTGGTAACTGTGGGCCTTAAGAGTGTCGTGTCCTGCCTGGGTGGCCTAGGCCAGGGATGGGGCGGTCGGTCCAGAGGGCTTCAGTGGGAACCTATTGCCGAGTGGGATGGCCCCTGGCCCTCGTCACAAGCATAGGTCCAGCCTAGAAGAATATTTTCCATCTCCTGCCCCTCTCTCAGCAGCTGATCCAGGCGTGTACTATGCAGCAACTCCCTGTGCCCTATCAGGCCTATCCCCACCTCATCTCCAGTGACCACTACATCCTGCACCCCCCGCCACCAGCCCCACACCCCCAGCCTGCCCACATGGCACCTTTGGGGCAGTTTATATCGCTGCAGACCCAGCACCCCCGTATGGTGAGTCTGGGCAACAGGGCTGATGCTAGAGGAGGTGGCCTGGGGGGCAGGGACTTCCGTGTCAATGATTTCAGCTGACCCACCCCTGCCTCTTCTAGCCCCTGCAGCGGCTGGACAACGACGTGGACCTTCGGGGGGATCAGTACCCCCTGGGGAGCTTTACCTATTCCACGTCTGCCCCGGGTCCGGCCCTGTCCCCATCCGTGCCCCTGCACTACCTGCCCCACGATCCGCTGCACCAAGAGCTGTCCTTTGGTGTGGTGAGTCCCCCCCACACCCCCACCCATGCTCTGGGGCAGTGGGAGCCGGGCACACCGGCTGACCTGTCCCCTTCTCACAGCCCTATTCCCACATGATGCCACGGAGATTGAGCACCCAGAGATACCGCCTGCAACAGCCGCTGCCCCCGCCACCCCCACCACCGCCCCCACCACCGTATTACCCCAGCTTCCTGCCTTATTTCCTGTAAGTACCAGCATATCTGCCCCTGAGACATTGTGTTCTCCTGGGGCCTCCAGTGGTTCTACTCAAACACAGGTGGTGGGGTCTTGTGGCTTTCAAGTCATCTGGCACCCCCAGCAGACCACACACCAGCCAGGTTTTTCAACATCCTGGGACAAACACTGGGGCCCCAGTGTTCACTTGACCTTGATCCTGGACCCCCATACCTGTCTCTCCTAGTTCGATGCTGCCAATGTCACCAACAGCAGTGGGGCCCACCATCAGTCTGGATCTCGATGTGGATGACGTGGAGATGGAGAACTATGAGGTCCCATGGAGCTCCGTCCTGGGAGGTGGGGGCCTGGGGACTTCCAGCCCAGGCCACTGCTGACCCTACCCTCCTGCCCATATGCAGGCCCTCCTGAGCCTGGCAGAGCGGCTAGGGGATGCCAAGCCTCGAGGCCTCACCAAAGCGGACATCGAGCAGCTTCCAGCCTACCGCTTTAACCCGGACAGCCATCAGTCCGAGCAGACACTGTGAGTGCTGTGCCCCATCTCCTGCCCTCTGTGAGGGTAGATGGGTTGCAAAGGGACCCAACCCTTCCTGGGAGTGGGGGGGTTGTGCTCTGCAATGAGCCATCCCTCAGCCATCAGTTTGGAAGTGACTTCTATGCCCTCCTCCCAGGTGTGTTGTCTGCTTCAGCGACTTCGAGGCGCGGCAGCTGCTCCGAGTTCTCCCCTGCAACCATGAGTTCCACACCAAGTGTGTGGACAAGTGGTTGAAGGTAATGCAGCCCAAGCCACTCCCAGGTGAGGGAGGAAGGGTGGGCTTGGGAGCTTCCCTCCTCCTTGTCATCATCCAGAAGTTCTGGCTTATTCAGGGGGCTGTATTCCTACCAGGGAGCAGAACAAACTCGGATGGGAAGGGGGACAGGTGAGAGTGGGGTCTGATATGCAGTTCCCCACCCCCAGGCCAACCGGACGTGTCCCATTTGCCGGGCCGACGCCTCCGAGTTGCCCAGGGAAGTTGAGTGAGGCCCACAGCTGCCCATGAGAACCCTGCCCGAAGCTCTGGAAATGGGGGCGGGGAGGGAGTGGCCCAGGCCTGCCCACATTGTTCCCACCTGTATCTCCAGAGCTGGTGCCAGGGTCAGGCCCAAGAGAAGCCCTTGCATTAAGCCCCTGTATTTGCCAAGCTCCAAAGACTCCATCCCCAGTCCACCTGCCAGCTCGCCGGCCACAGAGCTGCCTGAGTATCCCTAATTCAGCCTCCCTCCCATTTGCCTCAGTTCCGTTTCCTTTTCCTGACAGCACTGGGAGCCCAGGGTCTGTTCCCACATTGTGTCTGGTGGAGATCCTTGGCCCCAGGATGGGCAAAGGGGGCACAATCCTGGATCACTTGGTCTCTTGCACTGAAATAGGATGCCCTCTTCCCAGGTGGCACTGACAGGCATGGACAGTCAGTGGTATAAGGCCATTTCTTGGGTCCTTTGGCCTTCACCGTAGTCAGACTCAGGCAGCCAGCCATATCCAGCTGGCTGTGAGGGGTGGGCCTGGCTCCCTAGGGGACCCTCACCCCAGGCACAACATTCCAGTCACAGCCCCAGGCTGGAGGGCCTCAGAGCCAGCCAGCCTCCTGTACAGGAAGGCGACAGGCCCTGAGCCTGGATGGCATATAATCCTGAGCAGCCTGCCTGGGTCATGCCAGGGAGAGTGACCTATGTCCTGGTGGCCACCTCCTCCCTGGCAATGATGGGATCCAAACTAATGCCTGATCTCCCCTCTCTCATTTTGCATGAACATGAGGAGTAGCAATTTTCCTTTATTCATTTGGCCCAAAATCACGTGTAGGATTTGGGGGTGTGGATTTTTAAACAATTTGTTTTCTTTTGGTTAAATGGGGGGTATTAGGGACCAACCAGGACTAAGTGCCCAGGGGGCAGGGAGTGGTCTGGTGGTGCCGCCTGGTCTGCATGCATGTGTGCGGCCAGGGCTGGCCAGGTGGCCAGCAGTCCCAAGCGAAGCTAGGCGGTCTGTGCTCAGCTGATAACTGCCATGCACTGTACTGCACACGTCCCCAGAGCCTACCGGGACCGTTTGCTTTTCAGGGCATTTCTCCCTCTCCAGCCAGGGCTCATCTCCCACCCGCCTGGGCAAGTCTCCTCCAAGGAAGTCCCAGGAGGACTGGGACCAGGGAGGGCGTGGGCCTCACCTCCAGGGGCCCCCTCCCAGCCTGAGCCCTGCCCTCCAAGGTCTGGAGGAGGCCCCTAGTAGGGTCTGGCTGAGCTTCCCTCCCTCTCCCTTCTGGTCCCTTTCCTGTCCTACCCCTAGCTGGGGTTGCTGCCCAGAACGAACCGCGTGTGGGGCCGGCACATCCTAGCAGGCAGCCCCTGGCGCCTGCTGCCTCAGGGATGCTCCAACCACCCTCGTTCTCCTGCAGCCGCCCTGGCTCCTGCCTCCCCTGGCCTGCCATGGGGCCCTATCAGCCTGGCCCCACCCCGTGGAGAACCCAAAGTCTTACTGTATATAACTCCAGGTGATGTTTCTATATTTATAGCAGTGTTGAAACTCCACGTGTTTTACAGAGAACCATGCTCTCCAACCCCTCCCTCACCCACCCCAATAAAAAGTTTTCAAAACCCTCCGGTACTTGGGGCAGGCAGAACAGGCTCTCAGATTGTGCAGGCTGCAGCAATGGTTCTAATGAGCAGCCACTGAGGGGAGCAGGAGGAGAAACAACATTTAAAAAAATCATTTTAAAAAAGATTTATAAAACAATTATTTAGGATGTTTGTGATTTGCCAACCTTGCTATAGATGCCATGTTACCAATGATTTCCTGTGGTGGGGGCTTGTTAATGTTTACTCTTATTTACCAACTTCTGGCCTAGGCATGACAGTGGGCAGCATTCCCCAGCCTGGCTGGGCCCAGCACCTGTGTTCTGTGTTAGAAAGTTTTTATATATATATGTAACTGCGCATATATATATATACACACACACACATATATATATATACATATACATATATATATATATATATATATACATATAAATATATGTAATTTGGGGGCCCTGTTCTTGCACATTTTACAGTTACCTCATTTTTCCCATGTATGTATTTGAGAAAATGCTAATATATAGAGAGAGAAAAAAATGGTTCTTAAAGCTTAAATGTGTGGTTTTTTTCCATTCCATTGGATTCACATTGGTTTGTAGCATTTAACATAACTAGTATGTTGTATTATATACATGTGTATACTGATTGAAATTTTTAACAGATTTGTACTTTTTTTAAAATGGAAGTTGCTAGTTCTGCTTGACCAAGTAGTGCAATCATTATTTTTTTTAATATTGTTGCTGATTTCAGAGGGATATTCACTAATAAACGTATGATGTATATCACGTATTGCCCAAGCTGCCTTTGGCTGTCTGTGTTCTTTTGGTGGGAAGTGGGAGCAAGGTGTCAATCTGAGAGTGGGTAGGGGTGGGGATGGGTGAGAATATTGTTCTTCTTGAGGGTACCTCCTGATGGAGAAGGGTCCTCCCAGGCAGCTCAATGATAACTTATTCTGCCACACACACAAATGAGGCAGGAGTCTGTTAACAAGTGACAGGGTTCCTTAAATTGGTTTGAGGAAAGCATCACTTACTGGTTTCCTGTTTAAATTCTGGAGGAAAGTTCAAGCATGAGTGGGTCAAGGCTCCCTTCATCTTACAATTTTGTTTCAAAAGAGTTTTTGTGTGGTGGTTCTTGGTAGCTCTAGCTAAGTTTTCTGTAGTTTAGCATAATCTCCATGGGAAACTTATTTGTCTTGGGAATTCTGACAATTTCTGGGATGGAATCTTGCTACACAAACTTGGGGTGTGCCCATCCTGAACCCTTTGCTACTATCAGGGAGCTACAGCAGTGTAATTGGCTTGGCCTGCTTTACATACCTGCCCACCCTAACCTGACCACCAAGACTGTGGACTGGAGCCCTTCATCCCCAGGCTCAGTGGGGGCAAGGGCCTGAGAGCCACCAAGGGGACTAGATAAAGATGTTGCATTCCTCTAACCCATATGCATTAAGGTGCTGCAGGAGCAGGAGTAATGGACTGGGGTCAGGAGACCTGGGACCTTGTGTCTGTGATGCCACTCGCTGTAACCTTGGTCGGGGCACTTCTCTTTCAGCCTTTGGGGATAGAATCCTAAGTGTTTCAGAGGAAGTCCTGTGGGAGCATAACAAGGTTTGTGAAAAAAAAGGGAGGGGGGCGGGGATTGATCAATTAAGTTTAGGGATCAATTAACCTCACATTGAAAGTAACAGGAGCCTGAGTTGCAGAGGGCTGTTCTGAACCTTGGCTATGCAGACACGTGTTGTCAATCTCTAGGAGTGGATACATACTATGGGCAGCATTTTCATTTGGCCATGTCTAGGGCTCAAGTTGCATTCTCTGGAGCACATTGGGACACAGTGGACTAAACCAGTGGTAGCAACTGAGTTCCCCGGGCCCTGGTCTGAGAAAATTGTCAGGTGAGAAAGTCTCTAAACTTTTTTCAGTATTTTAAGAAATACTGAAAAGAATACTGGGAAAGAAAAATCACATGATCATATCAATTGATGCAAAATAAAGTTGCTCAAATTCATTCATGATAAAAACTCAGCAAGCTAGCAATAGAAGGTAACTTCCTCAACTTGATAAAGAGCATCTGCAGGTTCAGCTTCCTGTCTGCAGCCTCAGCAGGACAGCACACTCACAGCAGGATTTTGCACTCAATGGTTCAGCGACCCCCAGCCAGACTACACACTGACGAAAGGTGTGGAGTCTCGTTTGTACAGATTAGGTTCGTCAGAAATTTACCAAGTCAAGAATTCCAGATAAAGTGTTTCAGGCTTCACCATGAAAAATGTGGGGATTCAAAGCACCCTCATAAAATGCATATAGTTATCATAATAAAAAATACAAAAAGACATCCATACTTGGAAAAAGATGTAATAAAGATGCTTGGATTAGAAAAAGCCCATACTCCTCAAGTTCACAAGAACATCCCTTTGGTGAATGCAAAACAGAAAGTGGTTAAACATTTGATAACAAGCCCCTGAGGTTGCCACAGGGGAGTGGTGGTCATTGCTTCCCATCTGGCTGGGGGAGTTTTGTTCTTAGATTCTTGGCTGGATGGGGTAGTGCTCATACTTGCTTCCTGGATGACTAGTGGGATATGCATCTTCCTCACAAGATGGTATACACACACACGTGTGTGTGTGTGTGTGTGTGTGTGTGTGTGTGTGTGTATTTTTTGTTGTTGTTAATGCTAGTCATTTTTACTGACTAAACATGGTGTGCTTCTTACTATAGGCTTGGAGGTTTCAGTGCTATTATTTGGTTTAGTTCTAACCCCCTTTGCCCGACAGTTTCATTGCAACATGGGTAAGAATGGCATTGTTTGAATATCTAAGTTCAGATGTCAGCAATAATCATTAAAATAACTGTTTTTTAATCTAACTAAATTCAACAAATTCTATGAGTGGCCCTTGAAGCACTGTGTTATGTGTTGGCAAAATACAGAACTGCCCCTTCAGGAACTCACAGTCTGTTCTGCCAGAGACCAGAGTTTCAGCCAAAGTCACTGAACCTTGGGTGCAGCTAGAAATGCTGCTTTGTGCATTAGTGTCTATAAATCCATATGTAGATTTGGCTTCATTTTATGCTTAAACGTAATAACAAAAACAGTATTTTCTGATTATAACACTAATTTGGCCTAGTTCTTTGAATTCCCACGAAACCTCTACCAACAGTTGAGATTGCTTTCAAAAAGAAGAAAAAAAAGGGAGAAATCTTTTAGGGAGAATTGTTCTATTTCCCTTTTTTCTATTTCAGATACCTGGAGGGGTGGGGAGAAGTAAGAATCTTAGCAGAGCTGCAGTACTGGGAAGTTCTGTTGATGATGATGAAGAATTTCCAAATTCCAGTTACCCTTTGTTTTCCTAGCTGTCTGGTAAAATTTGGCAGCAATAACATTGGCATATTCACTGTTTGCAGTCCCAGTATCCATCCTGTCATAGGTCTTTATGTTTTGGGGCATCAAAGCACAAGTGCCACCTGAAATGAAGCCAGAACAGAGATCCTTAATTAATGAACTTAAAAGCAATTACAAAAAACAAAAACAAAAAACAGCATCTACAAAAAACCCTACAGCTAACATCATACTTCATGATATGAAAAACAATGCCTCCCCCCAACATCAGAACAATGAAGGATATCCGCTCTTACCTCTCCTACTCAACATCATACTGGAAGTCCTAGCCAGCACAATAAAGCAAGAAAAAGGAAATAAAGTTAGGCATACAGATAGAAAAGAAAGAAATAAAAGTCCCTATTTGTAGATTATATGATGAAAATCTATGTAGAAAATCCCAAGGAATCTACCAAAAAACAAAAACTGAGTTCATCAGGTCATAGAATACAAGATCAATATATAAAAATTAATTAATTGTGTTCTTGTATACTAGCAATAAATACAAGGAAATTGAAAATACCATTTGGAATCACTTAAAAGAGAAATAGAACATGTATAAACCTAACAAAATATTACAAAACTTGTACAGTAGTTCCCTCTTAACTACAGGAGATACATTCCAAGACCTCCCAGTGGATGCCCGAAATGGCAAATAGTACTGAACCCGATATGCACTGTGATTTTTTAAATACATACACTTTATGGCTTCTCTTTGGCACATCTGAATTGCCAGCATCACTACTCTTGCACTTTGGGGCCATTATTAAGTAAAATAAGGGTGACTTGAACATGAGCACTGCCATACCATGACAGCCTGGTAACAGGTGAGGGGTGTATATAGCATAGATGTGATGGACAAAGGGCTGCTTCACATCCCAGGTGGGACAGAGGTTGGATGGAGCAGGATGACGAGAGATTTTTATCATGCTACTCAGAGCAGCTAGCAATTTAAAACTTATACAGTGATACCTCGGTTCTCGAACATAATTCGTTCCAGGAGGACGGTCGAGAACCAAATTGTTCGAGAACCGAAGCAATGAAACCCAATAGGAAAGCGTGACTCCACAAAGCGTGACTCTCTCTCTGCACTCACACTGATGACGCAAGCAAGGCGCGCTGGGCCGAATGAACGCCATTCGGCTCAACTCGGCTCATCTCGGAAGTTCGAGTTCCAAATATTTGTTCGGATTCCGAGACAAAAGTTTCTCGAATCTCCATTTGGTCGAAAACCGAGGCGTTCGAGAACCGAGGTATCACTGTATATTATTTATTTCTGTATCTTCCATGTACTATTTTTGGACCACAGTTGATCCCTGGATAACTGAAATTACAGAAAGTGAAACCATGGGTAAGTAGGACTACTATATGTTGAAAACTACAAAAACTGCCGAAAGAAATCAAACACCTACATAAATTAAGAAATAGTTGTCATGTTCTTTGATTAGAAGACTCAGCACAGTAAAGATGTCATTTCTTCCCAAATTGATCTGTAGGTTTAATGCAATCCCTATCAAAATTCCAGCAAAGTGGGTTTTAAAAAGGCATACAGACATGCCTTTTTAAAAATTTATATAAGATGGCAAAGAAAAATAAATAAATAAATAAAAAGGCAAAGAAACCAGAGTAGCTAAGACATTTTTGAAAAACAAAAATAAATGATCAAGAATCACTCTACATGATTTTAAGATTTACTATAGAACTGTATTAATCAATGTGTTTGGGTAGAAGAATAGACAAGCAGATGAATGGAACAGAGCCAAGAACCCAGAAATAGACCCATGAAAGAACAGCCAACTGATTTTTGAACATCTGATGAAGGACAGACTTTTCAACAAATAATATTGGCGTAACTGGACTTCCATAAGGAAAAACAAAAATCTACCTAAACTTCACACTTTGTACAAAAATGAACTCAAAATGAATCATACAGACAGGGGGTGGGGTGTGTGTGGAAGATATAGAGGGGATAAATGGTGATGGAAGAAGACTTGACTTAGTGTAGTGGGCACACAATACAATATACAGATGATGTATTATACAATTGTACACCTGAAATCTATATAATTTTATTAACCAATGTCACCCAATAAATTCAATAAAAAAATAAAAGGATCATAAATTTAAAAATAAGACATAAAAGTAGAAAACTTTTAGAAGAAAACAAGTAAAAAGCCCTGGCTGGTTTGGCTCAGCAGTTGCAGCGTTGGCCTGGGTTCGGTTCCCTCTAGGGGCACATACCAAAAAAAAAAGAAAGAAAACAAGTAAAAATCTTCACTAAGGTATAGGGCTAGTTGAAGAGTCCTTAGATATGACATCAAAAACACAATCCATTAAAAAAAAATCAATAAATTAGACTCCATAAAAAAAAATTTGCAAGTCACATGTCTGACAAAGGACTCAAATCTCAG